TTGCGCCCCCCCTACCGTCTCTTCTCCCCCCTTTCTGTTGTCTGTCGCCTGCTACTACACAGCGTGCCGGGACCGGGACGGCGGGCCCCCGCCCCGCCCCCGCTCCTGCCGCCAGTCCATACATGACCCGCCGGTGAGAGAGGGGGCGGGGCGGGCCCGGGCGATGGCCACGTGGCCAGCAAAAGCCAGCGCCGGGGGGGAGAGCCGCGCGGGAGCTGCAGCGGCATTGTGTGGCCTGCAGCGGCTGGCGGTGGCGCTGCGCGAGGTGCGAGCCGTGTCCCTGTGTTTATTCTCCGAGCATGCGTGGTACTCGTACACCGACGGCCCCGAAAGCATACACGCGTACTTTATGCGTAAACAGAAACAGGGTAGGAGTGGCAACATCCGGCTAGCCCAGGTCCTCGCGCCCCGCATTCGCGGGCGCCGCGCTGCCGACTGGGCCGGATCGAGTGCCAGGGAGATGCCCCCCCCCCCCCCCCCTGGCGCGCCTTCCCTGGTGGAACGTATTCGGCGGCAGGCGCCGTCTGGCAGGGGAGGCGGAGGGGCGGAGGGCGGATGGGGCCCTGGGGGAACGAGCATGGCGAGAGCAGCTGGACGGCACAAAGAGAGGGAGCGTGCTCTAGTGCTTTGCCGATTCTCTGATGGGCGCAAAGTACGGGTGCGCCATCGCCTCGACGGGCGAGGGCCTCTCCTGGTGGTCGTACCTGGTGGGGGCGTGGCGGATCTTGTCAGGGGCGACTTCCCCTCGTCGATCGCCCCTTGTGATCGCCCTTAGGCGTCGTCCGCCTCGGCCCACGGTGGGGGGCCATTATGCTGTGCGTGCGTGCGTGAGTGCGTGCGTGCGTGAGTGTGCGTGTGCGTGTGTGCGCGCGTGTGAGTGTGTGTGCGTGCGTGTGCGTGCGGTGCGCGCGCGCGTGGGCGGTGCGGGGCGCGCCGCAATAGCCGGTCGAGCAAGTCGATGCTCTCTGGCGAGACGAGGTGCTGGTTCTCGGCGTTGATGAACTTTTGCCAGCTCTTGCGCGCGTGGCGGCCGAGCAGGCCGTCGAAGTGCCTGTTCGCACGCTAGGGGCCTGAGGCGACGCGGCTCACGGCCTGGCGGCCGAGCAGGCGGTCGGGGGTTGCGGGTCGAGCTCGAGGTTGTACTTGTCGAGGTAGTCGAAGAGCTCGTCGGTGCCGAGGACCTGCGGCGAGGGCGAGGGACGCGAGGGACGCGCTCGGGCGCGGGCGTGAGGGCGAGGTGGGGAGGGGAGTTGACGGGCGGCGCGGACGCCTTTGCGATCTTGACGAGCTGGTCGTAGTTGTCGTGGCCGTGGAAGAAGGGCTCCTTGCGAAAGATCATGCCCGCAAACATGCAGCCGAGCGACCACATGTCAAGGGAGTAGTCGTAGTCTTGCAGGTCGACCAGCAGCTCCGGCCCCTTGAAGTAGCGCGACGCGACCCGCACGTTGAACTCTCGCTCGGGGTGGTAAAACTCGGCGAGGCCCCAGTCGATGAGCCGCAGCTGCCGCTTCTCGTGGTCGATCATCACCTTCGGAGGGAGGGGGCAGGTGTTTGGTGGTGGTGGTGGTGGTGGTGGTGGTGGTGGTGGTGGTGGCGAGGCAGCCCTCGTGCGGCCGGCGCTCCCCCCCCCCCCCCCCCCTGTTTCCCCCGCCCTCGTTGTCCTAGCTGTGGATGGCGAGGAGACATCTCTTCGGTGCATCGCGCGGCCCGGCGGAAGCCCCCCCCCCCACCCCACCCCGGGGGCAGCGCTCTGGGCGGTGCTCTGGGCGGCGCACGTTGTGCGGCTTGACGTCCCGGTGCATGATCCCGTTCGAGTGGGAATGCTCCAGCGCCTGCCGCCGCAGGAGGAGGCAGAGCTCAGCACGTGCGAGACGCCTCGTGTGCGGGACGCTGCGTGTGTGCGGGACGCTGCGTGTGTGCGGGACGCTGCGTGTGTGCGGGACGCTGCGTGTGTGCGGGACGCTGCGTGTGTGCATGGGCACGGCAAAGTGCCCGCACGGGCGCGGCCGCGCGGGCTCCTCCACCCTCCGGCGCGCGGCAGGAGCGGCGGCAGGCGGCGCACGCGCCTTGAGCAGCTCGAAGATGTAGAAGCGGACGTCAAAGTCGGTGAGCGTGGGGTAGAGGACCTTGAAGTCCGTGTTGTTGACGTGCTCAAAGATGAGCGACGGCGTCTTGGACTGCGGATCCCGCACGATGTCGAGCAGCTGGATGATGTTGGTCCCGCCGGCGAGGTTCATCAGAATCTTGATCTCGCGCTTGATCTTCTTCTTCTTGACCGGCTTGAGGATTTTGATGATCACTTTGCTGCCGTCGCTCACCCGAATCCCCTCAAACACCTCGGAGTACTTTCCGCGTCCAACCTTGCACACGACCTGGTAGTCGTCCTGCTCGCCCCACTGCACCTGCAGCGACTCGTAGTCCCAGTACTCCTTGGGCCGCTTCAGGTTGACTTCGGCGTGCCAGCGCGCCCTGAGCCGCAGCGGAGGTGGCGTGGGGAGACGTCGCAGGTGTCTGGCGGTCGGCTCTCTGCACTCTGGCGGCGGCCGCGGATTGGGCTAGCACCGCACGGACCGACGGGTCGGCGGCTGCGGCAGACTGGCACAGCGACAAGCGCAGGCTGCACAAGCGCACCGCGAACAGCACAGGCCGCCGCCCGAAGGGCCCGTGCGCTGAGAGACTCAGACTGCTGTCGCGTGCTGTTTGGACGCAGTGGTGGTGTGTAGAGTGGGTATGGTGCTGTGTGGGGAGTGGGTGGCGCTGGGCACATTCTCGCAGCGCGGGCGGCGCTGCGTGTTGAAAAGAATTGCACTTGCGACCCACCGTCTTTCTTTTAACCATCCCTCCCTTGGGTTGTCTGTTTTCTTTCTTTCTTTCTTTTAACCACGCATGCACACACACGTCCTAACTCCCCAGAAATCCCGAGGAGCCGTACAGTGCCTAGAATGTGTGTGCTGTGTGGTGCACGCCCTCCGAGCGGGGCGGGGTCTGAGAGAGATTTTTAGCAATACCTTAATGTGATGTTACAGGTGGGTTAAGAGGGAGATGTGCGCGAGCTGCGGGACCGCCGGGACCAATACCAAACAACTCTAACACTCACACGTAATTTGGGGCCTGGAGCCCTGTTCACGCGCGCGCGAGACGTGCAGACAGGGTTGCCAGGTGAGAGCGAATGGCGCGGTTCACGCCTCGCACAACAGAGAGAGAGATGCGCTCTGCATGGTGGGACATAAAAGAGAGCGAGTACTTGGGCGAGTAGGCCGTGCGGTCAACGCTGCCGCGCGCGACTTGGACGCACGACGCAAAGAATTTTACAAGTTAAAGCAAAAGAATGATGCGGGCCAAGATGCAGGCTGAGCTGCGCGAGCAGCTCGACGCGCTGCAGATTTCGATGGAGGCAGAGGCGAGGCGCGCTGATGCCGCAGAGGCGTGACCGGAGAGGTCAAGGCTGCACAACAAGCAAGATGGAGGGGATTATGCACACGCGTGAGGGGTTGATAATCGCACTCGCAGAGGCGCAGCGCAAGCGTGAATATAGTGAGTGTTAAGAGATATACGTAGCGTTACAGTTGTACGGTCGTCGACCCTCCCCCACCGTGTGGGCCGCCCGGACCCCGGAGAGCTGCAGCGCGTTGGTTCAGACAGCGTTGCGCGAGCATTTGAGAGGCCAGCCTCCGGCTTCTCAGCGTGTTGCGAGTGCTGGATCTCTGTCTGCCTAGTAGCTGGGTGTGATGGGGGGCTCTCTGGTGACTTTGCTTACAAATTTACAGATTTACGGATATTTACGGATCCACCCCCCTCCCTCCCCGTCCCGTGACCCGGCTGTGAGACGGTGAGACGCGCATCCGGGAATGAAGTTGGTGCCGGCTGGTCAATTTTTTTCATATATGCTACAGCTCCAGCGACCCAGCCGCACCCCCCTGGAACCAGCCGAAGAGCCAATAAAGACAACGTACCTCAACTCACAGAAGACAAAAACCACACCAAAGACTCCCCAACCCAAACCCCGATATGAAAATACGCGGGGGCGCGCAGCGGCGTTGTGCGGCGAGAGTCAGAGAGCACGGGCGGAAGGCCATCGGCTCCTCACCGCCCTTTCTGCCAACGTGATCTCTCGGCGCACGCGCGCACCAGCCACGCCCCGCGGCAGACGTCACGCGGTGCCGGTGTGTGTCGCGGCGCTCAGAAGTTCTGCTGGCCGGTGACGAGCTCCTGCGCAGTCATGCCGGCGATGGCGAGCATCGCGAGGCGGCCGTTGTTGAGCTCCTTGTTCTGCATCGCGAGGAGCTCCGCCTCGCCCTTGGGCTTGAGGCCCATCGGGTCGAAGCCCAGGTCGCCCGGCAGGTAGCCCTCGCGGAGGGTGCGCATCGCCACCTGCGTGAGAGGGGGGGGATGGGTCTTGGGAAAGGTCCAGGAATGTGTGTGCGTGGGCCGTTGGGCTTGAACCCGGCGGTGCGGCCATCGGGGGCATCTCGGAGGCATCTCGGCTGACCTCGGGCTCGACCCAGCCGGTGCGAGCGCGCTGGATCTCCGAGAAGAAGATCGCGAGCAGCAGGCAGGAGGAGCCGAGCTGCCCGTTCTCGGTCTGCAGCACCTTGTCGAGGTGGCGGATGACTGGGGCGCTGTCCATGTCGTACATGGGGGCGAAGTGCGACTGGACCAGGAAGCCGAGCGCGCCTGCCCGCACGCATTTCGTGGCGTCAGATCGGGTGAGTGCTGGTGCAATGGGCGCAGAGGTTGATGCGTGTGGGCTCTGGCCCGCACGCATTTCGTGGCGTCAGATCGGGTGAGTGCTGGTGCAATGGGCGCAGAGGTTGATGCGTGTGGGCTCTGGAGGCATGAGGGTGCTGGTGAAGAGAGGATGGCTGTGTCGAAGGCGTCGCACCCATCATCGCGACGCGGCCGTGCGCGAGCTCGGCCTCGCGGAAGAGGAGGAGCTCCTCCTTCGTCTCGGGCGTGAGGCCAAGCGGGTCTGCGGCGGAGGCAGGAGATTCAGCCAGGGCGGGATGGGTGGGCGTGGCGCGTGAGAGGAGGCGCTCGAGGCTTGCGCGGCGCTGGGCGGTGAGTTTATGGGGCACCGAAGAGGCCGAAGGGCGCGGTAACGCCCGGCATGGTCTTGGCATAGGCGACGCCGCCAGGAGTCAGGCCGGGGGCGAGCGAGAGCGGGAGGGAGGCGAAGGACAGCGACATCGTTCTGTTTGGCACGTGAACTACTCGGATATCCGGGAAACTACTCCTGTCACGGCTGTGCCACTTCGAAGACACTTCAGGAACAAGGGGATATCGCCTTGTAAATAAATATCGCAATGACCTCCAAGAGAGATGGGCGACGCACGAACCCGAGGCACAGCGCGCACCCCGCCCCGCTCTGCACCAGACGCGCATCTTCTTTCTTTCTCTCTTGTCTTTTTTTTACGTTTTGTCTTGTTTTTTTGTTTGCTTGTCTTTGCCACCGCCGCGGCCGCCGCCGCCGCCGCCACCCCCGCGGCTCGAGCCGTGCCGGATAGCCTTTGGAATGCACTTGAGGACTGTCGAGGAGCGCCTCGAAGTTGACGCACGGCGCGAAGCGGCATCGGGCGTTTACTAAAATTGTTCAATAGTGCGAAATTATTTTTCTTTTTCTGTCATCAAGAGCGAGAGCGACTCAGAGACTTCCGGATATAGACGGTGTCGAACTAACCCTGCCAGTCATGTCGTTGCTCAGATCCACTCTCGTTTCGAACACTTGTACCTCCACAGATGATGTTGGCGCTGGGTCCCATTCGGGTGCCTCGTGACACCTGGCGACGGCTAAAAAAGAAAGAAAGCGAGAGATTTCTTTTGGCGTCATCAACGAGCAGGAGACTTCCAAAGGCATCAGCGCCGAGCATCCCCCTATGTCGACGGGCCCAAGGTCAGTGGCATCCACCGTTACCGCGCCTGGCCCTAGTGCTGCCCCTTCCGCCCCCCTCAAGCTGATCCGGACCAGCGCCTTCTGTTTTGTGTCGGCCGAGGAGCTCGAGCTCCTGCTGTCCCGACTTGAGGCACGCACCACCGCCCGGCGCGCACACGGCCGTGCCGCAGCTCTCACACCCCCCTCCCCCGGCGCCTCGGCCACAGCAGCGGAACGGCATCGTCGAGCCTCGAGCCTCAAAGCTCGAGCGCGACTTTGCGCCGGGAGACGTGCCTGCGGCGGACACACCGAATAAACAGCTGAGGGAGAGGTCCCCCGAGGGCTCCCCGCCCGCCCTGCGCGCGGTTGCGCGATGCGACGCGCTAGCCGCCTTCCACCGCAGCTGTGCCGCCGGACAGGCTCCGGGGTCGCAAAGTGTCGACCTGTAGAGGGCGTCGCGGCTCGCGCGCACTCCGCACTAGTGCGCCTCGCAGCGTCATGAGGGACATGTCTACCCTCGCGTCTGGCCGTCTTGGTGTGAGTCTTGGCGGCGGCGTGTACCGAAATCGATACCTTTTCACGAAACAGATACCCCGGTCACTTTCCGCGCGGACATCGCTGCGCCGAAAACGCACGGTAACACCACACACCACAGGTGGGGGGTGGAAGCAGTGTGAGTGTGTGTGCGCTCTAACTCCTCTCACTCACCTCTCAGCTGTTGCCGCCACTGCGGCGTTGCTTCCCGGCGCCGCCGAATGGCAGGTCCATCGAGCGCTCCTGCCTCAGGCGCGCCGAGAGGTCGGGTCGGCCATGCGCGTCGCACAGGCGGGTCGCCGCGAGGAGGCCGCGCGAGTCGAGCCGGAGGCCCTGCGCCCGCATCTGCGAGTAGAGGGCGAGCGCGCGCTGCAGGCTGTTTGGCAGCTCGCGGTGCTGCTCGCACGCCCGGAGGGCGAGCGAGTAGTGCACCGTCGAGGGCGTGAGCCCCGACGCGCGGAGCTCCTCGAGCAGCTGCAGCGTCCGCGACGCGTTGCCCGCGCGCCGCTGCACCGCCATCAGGTGGGCGTACGAGTGGGGCGTGGGCGGCGTGTAGGTCGAGTAGTGGTTGGTGCGCTGCTGCATCTCGACCCAGATGCGCTCGGCGCGCACGTGGTCGCCCGCGACGGCGCAGGCCTTGAGCAAGCACGTGTACGAGATGGCGTCGGGGCCGATCCCCGCCGCTACCATTTCGCCGAACGCGCCCTCGGCGCGAGGCACGTCTCCCTCCCGCGCGCAAGCGTGCACGAGCGCGTTGAAGGCGGCGCGGTCGGGCGAGACGCCCGAGGCGCGCATCTCTCCGAAGACGGCGAAGACGGCCCGCAGCTCGTCCGACGGCGGCCCGACGCCCCCTCCTTCGACCAGAAAGGGCTGCGGGGCTGCCGCGAGGGACTCGGCGAGGCGCGCCGGCGGTGAGGGCGCGCCGGCCGCCGAGCGGTGCGCCGCGCCGCCGTCGCTCGCGACGAGGCCAGAGACGGCGCGCCGCACCGCTCCGGGCAGAGGCGCCGCCGGCGCGGCGTCGAGGCCGGCGTCGCTCCCCTCGGCCCCCTCACGCTGGAGGAACTCCTCGAGGGCAGCGCGCTTGCGCAGCAGCTCCACCGCGGCGTCGAGCGCTCCGCCGCCGCCGCCGCCCTCCCCCGGCGCGGCGGCGGCCTGCGGCGGGCGGGAGGCCGCAGCGGCGAGCTGGCGGAGCAGCAGCGCAAAGGCGGCTCCACTCTTGGTCGCGCCGCCCCGCTCCGTGTGCGGCGTGGCGGTGAGGCGGCGGCGCGAGGCGGCGGCGTGGAGGAGGGTGGTGAAGGAGTGGGCGGAGGGCGCAATGCCGGCGGAGGTCATGTACGAGAGCACTTCCCGCGCGAGCAGCACCTCGCCGTGCTGCAGGCAGCCTGCGCGCGCGCCGGAGCCGCGGTGAGATGAGGGGCGGCGGTGAGAGGAGAGTCGGGCTGTGGCGAGCCGTGCCATGCC